CCAGTTGTCTGATGTTAATGCTGGAGATTATCTGGAGTATGAAAGAGAATCACTGCTCTGTCTCTCTTATTATAGGCTCTGCAGATAGTGTTCGTTCTTATCCAAGTGTTTTCATGGCGTTATGCCATAGTTTTTCTATGGTTGAGTACTTTCATCACCATATATTTTTCCGAATATGTATGGAACATGCAAACCAAAGGAAGGAAAGTCATAAGTTATAAGTTAAAACTTTACTTTTTTAAAATTTTTTTAAAGATGTTATTTATTTATTTGACACAGAGAGAGAGACAGCGAGAGAGGGAACACAAGCAGGGGGAGTGGGAGAGGGAGAAGCAGGCTTCCCGCCGAGCAGGGAGCCCGATGCGGGGCTTGATCCCAGGACCCTGGGACCATGACCTGAGCTGAAGGCAGATGCTTAACGACTGAGCCACCCAGGCGCCCTTACTCAGAATAGTTTTAAAATTATCTGTCAAAAGTGTTCAACTGGTTTTCCACTAAAGAGAGGGAAGTGGTGAAACCACCCATTCATTTGCTTTTTGCTTTTTTGCTTTTACCTTTTGGTAACTCTCAAATTCTAAAAGTGTTAAAAGTGAAAAACATTATTTTCTTGTAGTATCTTCATAACTGTTAGATCATGGACCAAATCTGTACTTATTTAAAAAATAGGAGCAGTAACTCATACTCATTTCGCTGTTCACTAAGTACCAGGCCAACCACACTGCACAGAAACCCACTAGGATGGTTTCCAGGTGCGAGGCATCTAGCACTTAGCGCTCATCTTCAGAGAACTTCCAAAATGCAGATCACTTTCTCCCTGGGGTTGTGACGATCATAGTGGTTCTGACATCCACTTGTTACCTTGGTGCTTAGTAGTTGAAGAACATCCTCTGTAGAAATCTCACAGGCCACTTTGAAAGCTGAGGAACACGCCCCTTACTTTCACCAGAAGTACAATTCAGAATTCGGTATCAACTTTCCTAAATCATGGAATAGTGTCATTATTTTTACATATTGGGTATGGTTTTACATGTAAAAGTATCTGAATCACAGTTGTGTCAAGACAACCAAAATGTTTTTAGGAATTACCTGTGGTAAAATGTTGTGTTTTTTTTCCCATTCTCCTATCTGATTTTTTTTTAAAGTACTTAAACACTCTGAAAATACCTTATTTATTACTTTAGATGTATAGGTCTCTTCAACTACAATGTTGTATTTTTTTTTGAAGGCTTGTTCTTCATTGTATGTCCAGTCCCCAAAACAATGAATGATAGCCACTTAGTAAACTTTTGTTAAATCAATGAATTTTCAAGAAAATACAGTGTTTGTGCAAATTGAAAATCGTGCATTTATGAAAGTGTGATGTGTTGGAAAAGGAGCAAAAATTTCCTAGTCCTGAACTGTCTAAGTTGATAGGAAACACTTAACCTCTAAAAATGTTGCATCCTTTACCATCAGAGTGATCTAGAAAGGGGATGAAATTTTATGGCAGAAACACACATCTCTTAGCATTCTATGTTTCTCTTTATTCTTCCAAAAATAAAACCAAGATGGAATTTCTCCAAAAACCACTGGAAAATGCAGTTCAGTTTTTCTTTCCAAACAGATCTTCAAAATAGAACACCGGGTGTTTTTCCTTACTTAGTCATCCTTTTTGTCAATGGAATATACAATCTTGTTTGTTGAATCTCAGAACTTTTCAAAGAGGGTCTGACAATATGGAATTTGAGTGAAAGATACCTAGCCTTCTAAATTTATTTAAACAAAGGCAGTGGATGAAAGGCTAATCTGTGCTCTACTCTGATTGGCTGCTTCAAATCTCAGGGATGATTCCACTCATATTTTCTATAGAGACTACTGACCACCACTAGGAAGACTCTGGAAAGCGATTCTGGGATCCCATTCCATTTCTGCAGCAATCGCATGCTGCTAATTGTTAACCAGCCTCAAAATACTTAACAGCCTACCATATTTTGGTAAAACAGTAGTAGTAATAGTGATAGCCTTATTGGGTCAGAGATAAAGATATAATGTGGCCCTATTGCCTATTATTTCCTTAAGCGTGTGTTGTTTTACTTTAGCCTTTATACCAGTTCTGAATGACTGATTAACCTCCCGGTGGAGGAAAGGTATCCCATTGCCGTTGGCACAGCTGATTTGATTAGCGAGGCACCGCCCATGTGTGGTTCTAGCAAAGAGCTGGAGATCCGTGGGGGAAGCACCTTTCCAGACATATGGCTCCCGGCTGAGTCAACAGTCTGTGGAGAGAGCTGCATGCCATTTGTCTTCCTTTCAGTGACAATGACGGCATCCATGTGGACCCCTGTCAGGGTGCTCTGGGTAGGAGAAGCCGCGTCAGCCTGGCAAGTCTGTGCTTGTCCACATTCCAGATGCAAAAATGCAGGGGTCTCAGTAGCGTGCGACTCCAGGGTAATGTTCCCTGCAGTTTACTTTTATTGAGCCTTCTGATTTGAAATCCAAAACTGTTACAAAGCTGTGTGGTTGAGGTGCTGTTGCCAACAATATGTAGTTGTTTCTGTCTCTGGATCTTTGTGAAAAGAAATGGGTCTTTGTGAAAGCTGTGTCTGTTTTGTTTCTGTTTAAGTTTTTGAGGATTTGAAAAAAGTAAAACAATAATATTAAGGCATGTGGTCAGAGCATTTAAATATAAAAGGCAAAACCTTTTTTTGAAGTAACTCAAAAAGATATTACTCTTCAATGATGTAGCTATCACTTTTAAATGTGTCACTTTGTGAATGTTTGAAGTTTTAATGAGACCCTGTCGTCACATTCTTTTCCATAAATCCGATATTAAAAAAGGAAGGGATGAAAAATAATCATTCTTCTTGTACTACTGTAATTTGGTAATATTACACTTTAAAAAGCGATGCTTTGCCAAGCTTCCAGATAGCCCTGAGTCACAAGGGTTTGGTCGTCGAGGTCCTCTTTGCAGTAAATCAAGGGCAGCTGTAAATGATGACCGTCCCCGGTTGTGTGTGATCTCTAAGTAGTCCCTCTCTTAAGCGCCATATTCTGTGCACAAGCCCAAACGTTACAACGGAGAAAGGGGACAGGACAGCCCCAATTTTTATTTCTGGCTCTCCTGAAGTTGCCGAGAAGAAATGGGCTTATTCTAAGAGTGACAGACATGGATCAGAAAGAGAAAAACCCAGACACACCTTTCCAGGAAGCTTACTTAAGCGTCAAATGGGCCTTATGTGTAGTTGGACTAGGCAGCTGCCCTCCAGGCTGCAGAGGTGCTAGGAACCCCCATCCTTTCTTCAGATCTCACCCCTGTCAGCAGCGCCACGTGCACTACCCGTCAGCCCTGCTCAGTGGTCCGTTTGCAGGGAACAGGGTGGGGAGAGACTCCTACCTGAGTTTGAATCCTGGCTTCAGACCTTTGGACTCAGGGGTGACAAGCTATTAAACCTCTCAAAGCCTTGGAGCCCTCATTTGTAAAGGAGGATAATAATCGTATCTGCCTCGGGTGACGGTAGAGACTACACAAAATAATCCCTTAGTATAATTCCTGGCGCACAGTAAGAGCTCTGTAAATCTAAGCTGCTCATATTATGATGTTTATTATTGTTATTCCACAGCTAAAAAAGGAATTGAAAGACCAATACCTTCCCACCCCCTGGGGAGGCTAACACATTGACGTCACTGGTAAAGGGAGGGTCCTGGGTGCTTAACATGTGAGAAAATCAGAAACGGAGAAAAAGCCGAAAGTAGAGGTGGGGCAAAAGAGACAGACCTTTAGGTGCTTTCTCGGGCCTCATTATTTTGCTTAAAGGTCACTTCTTTTCCCAGCCTCAGTTAAATACAGTTTATATTGTCTGTTTTTCATTTAACTTTTACAATTATAAATATGTCCTTATGTTGGACTCATCCCACACCATCTAGTCTGGAACAATATCTGACATATTAGGCCTCCAGAAATGTTTGTGGGATGGACTGACTTTTAAACTTTAAAAGTCAAAAACCTGGTTTCTACTTCTGTTTAATAGAAAAGCTAGTATTGCCCGTTTATTGTATCACAAGTGCTTACCAAATGCCTTTCAGTACATCAGTTAAGACAGATGGCTGAGTTTAAGATGACATTTCTCTGTCTTTAAGAATAGTGCAGATCCCTAGCCATTTAACCACAGAGAAGAAAACCTTGTATTATCATTCTGGAGCAGTCTCATTTTGTTTTTTAATTGGGTGGTACTCCATTTACTCCAATACCCAGTCACACTGGATGGCCAGTGAAATCAATTTAAGGCTCTCACAAGGATATAAATCAAATTTCAGGCCTCTTGAAAATTATTGAGATAGTAGGAAGTTTGTATTTCTAAGTTCTTTGCCTTGAACCTAAATATCATCTAGTCTGAAGCCTTTTGATCCTGGAGCTCCTACATCGGTTTCCCTCCTCGCTCATAGCATCACTCATTTAGTGAGGTGCCGCGGTGTTGCTTTTGCCCTGTGGCTGAGTTTTCTTTGCAGCTGCATATTTTTATATGATTGCTTACACTGTGAAGATGTAAATTACTTTCGGGTATGCTCAATAACACTTTTTAAAAATTCACACAGATTTGTGGTTCCATAATCTCGGTGAATACACCAAGGATACCTGTTTGTTCTGATTCTGATATTGAAAATATAATAGATGGTGTGATAAGGCCAACTTCATTAATTCATTTATAAGTACCATAATACAATAGTTAATTTGTCCATACATAGCCTCCAATTATCTCCTCAATTCCTGGTAATAGCCACAAGCCCATCTTTCATTTTTATTACCTCCCAGTTAATTGCACTAATAGGTTTTGCTTTTCATTTCTACATGATTTTCATTAGAAAAAGTGGCAAGTGTTAACTCTTGCTGCTTTTTAGTCAGTAAGCATTGCAGGCTTTTTAATCAGAGATGAACAAGGAAAATGAATTTTTAAAACTTTCATGTAAATGTGCTTGCTAGCCCCAAGATTCCAGATGACTACTTCTAACTTTTACTTTTTTAGAAAAGAAGAGGCTTATTTGGGACCAATAAATTCTGCCAGGTAAGGAATATTGGTAGCTAGAACTATGTGGGGTTTTCTTTTTTTCCTTAAAAAGAAAACAACAACAACAACAACAAAAACACTTCTGTAGCATTATTTACCAATGAATCACAATTTTCTCAATCCATAGATAGCTTTCTTGTGTAATCTGAATGAACATGAGCTAATTTAATATGAGTATTTACAAGGTACTTGTTCATTTAAAAGTGATACAAACATTTTAATAGAGAGGTTTGAAAACACTTGTTCATTTTTAATAATCAAATGTCTATGAGACAGCCAGTTGACTCTTTAAAAGAAAACTCTTACTGTCATTAATTGCAATATCTCCAGTGATTTTCCTGAGTATTCTCCATATGAGATTATTATGATATGTATATGTAGTCTTGACTGTACTAAATTGAATCACTTGCAAAGATCACATTGTAGGATTTATGAGAATGTTTTTTTTCACCCTGAATGTTTTATTCACCCTAAAAACTGGTGATTGAATAAAAGAATTACTGTTGACTTAGTTCTACATATCTCATTATAATTACAGAGGACAGACATGCATTAGTAGAAGAAAAAAATGTTAATATAAATTAACATCATAATTATTATTTTCATCTAACTTGTAGAGTATTGTAGGACTGCTAAGAAAAGTGTTCAGGATTTTATCACTTAACACTTTATTTTTTTAAGATTTTATCTATTTATTTGAGAGAGGGAGACGGAGATAGCTAGAGAGAGAGAGGGTGAGAGAAGGGAGAGAGTGCAGGAGCGGGGAGGAGAGGGAGAAGCAGGCTCCCCCCTGAGCAGGGAGCCAAAAGCAGGGCTCCATCCCAGGACCCTGGAATCATGACCTGAGCTGAAGGCAGACGCTTAACTGCTTAACCGACTGAGCCACCCAGGCGTCCCTCACTTAATACTTTGAAAAGGGAGAGGGAGAGATCTGAAAACCTTCTCTATATTCGTCCATGTCTGGATCCCACTGAAATGACTCAGGTACCTGTAGTTACTGTGTCAGATGGCAAACACTGCAAATATCAGCTAGATGGTATCTGTTTCAAGGTATCAGCTGAATTGGCAAGTGGAACAATCTTTTTTAGACAATTTAAAGTTTTCTTTCAACTAAATCGGGTTCTCCAAAATGATATTTTAATAAGAAATGTAATTATAGAATACTGTGGTAAACAGCAGAGAAAGACAAAAGAGATTTAGATGGGGGGTGGGGGAGTGGCTCTTTTCCTGAAATAGCTGTAAAGAAAAAAAAAAAAGAATCAAATGGAAAATAGAAAAAATCTATTCCAAGTGAGAAACATAGGGGATAAAATTTTTACATGATTAGGAGTAAGTTGTTCAAAGGATAAAAGGCAGCAAGAGTTAATATCAGGTGACAAGGAATGGGGTAAAAGCGCTGTGTTTATTTAGTTGATTTTATAAGGATGAATAGGATTGTGTATATAAAGTAGAGAAGCCAATTCTGGTAAGAGTTTCTTGAAAGAATCTCCTCAGTTTACTTTTCGGAGAGAAGATGGCTGGGAACGTGCCTGTCTTTGTATCTGGAGTGCTCATCCACAATTCACCTTTGAGGACAGATTGCTCCGAGCCTTGGGAACACTAGGGGATATTTTCAGGCTGATGTGGTGCAAATGTGAGATTTAAGTAGAAAAAAGCTGTATTTGGAGTTATTTAAGAAATTACATAGTCAGCTAACAATTTTAAAAACCTAAGAGGAATGTTTATATTCTAGGTCATGTTGGAGCTGTCAGCAGATGTCTTGGAACTAGATTGCAACTAGATTATTTTAGATGTGCTTTTTGCCTATGTTCCTATATTGTGGTATGGGAATAAGAAGAATATATGCACTTGTTTTAGATAATGAAAGTTTTAATTTTTAATGTTAATTTTCAATCTTTTTAAAATGAGTAATAGGAAAGAAGACATTAAACCTATGATTTCATGAATATTATTGCTCTGTTTTTAAAGTCAATTTTAGTTTGATTTAAAGAAAAAATAAGTAAATAATAATAACATAATATATGGCTATGGCAAAAATAATGAAAGCAGCATGCAGAAAACTGGTGTTTGGGAAATATTCAGATAGTTTTATCCCATGTAGTTGACACATAACCAGTTAAGTATTTTTCAGAGCCTGAGAACAGAAAATATCTCAATAAAATGCTCTCACTTTTTAACTTTAAAAAACAATGAACTTTTTTTCATCCTGCCAATATAGTTAGCCTATTTTATTTTTTATTTTTTTTTAAAGATTTTATTTATTTATTTGCGAGAGAGAATGAGAGACAGAGAGCACGAGAGGGAGGAGGGTCA